TTCCTGTTATTTTTTTTTTTCCGTTTATTGTAAAAAAATTTGTTGTATGTGAACAGTCTCTTAATTATGTATCAATCTGGTCTTAAAATAAAATCAATTTAATTGAAAGTCTCTTTATTTTTTTAAGGTGTAATCTTATATAACTTTTATTTTGAGTGTTTCCAAATTTAAATGTGTTTTTTTTTTTTTAAAAAACCGTGCAATCTGTTATCAAAAATTTAAAATTAAAGTTAACACATTTTTTTTCAAGACAAATAAATAAAATTTCAACGTTTCTTTTGAAATTTTTTTTTAAAAGAGAGAATAATTTAATAAATGTTACTATGATTCTTTATAAAAAAAAACATAAATTTAATTGAAGTATTTTTTTTTAAATCTTTTTATGGTGTATCTTTTTTAATTTTTTTAATGTTTTCAATATTTATTTATATTATTTTTTTTTTGATTAAAAACCGGTCATTTCAAATAAGAGTTATGAAAAATTTAACAATTAAATATATTCGATTATTCGCTTGACGGAAAAACGTGGACTATCAGCGTAAACCTCAGTCGGTTTTTGTAAACACAGGCGGTATGCGAGAAACCAGAAACCTGAGAAAACGGTTAGTTTTCAATACCAAGTAACGCGGAAACCAAGAACCTTTTCGGTTTCTGTGGAGAATATTTTCCGGTTTTAACTCGAGTCCCGGTGGTTTCTTCCGGGGATAGACTGATGGAGCCCATGCTTGGGGTTGTCTCACATAATACTCGTGCGCCTATTTCATAAATGGTATTGTGGAATAATTGTAAAGAAATAATTATTGTCATGTTGGGCCGATGCTATTCTACGTATCAATTGGTGCCTTGAGTTGTATATAAGGTAACTATTATATTGGTCTTTCGCTAGAAAACTAGATATTTGTGGGACTTTTTATTAAAACCATATATTTCTTGGACTTATATCTTCAATTTTCGTATAGTAAACATCATTTTTAGATAAAAAAAGAATAAATAACTAAAGGGTAAGTTGTAAATAAATTTGCAGGACTATTAATAGTAAACCAATGGGCTTAAATATTGAACAATTTGGAGAATTTGACTCTGGTGAGACTAATATTCATAATATCTTGGTTAAGTTTAGGTACGAACATAAGAGAAATTTTTCACTTTGCTCAGTTAAGGCACATTTTTTGTATTTGGTCGAATATTTCGGGACTGCAATACGAACTCTAATGGGAAGTTTTTTAAAACCGGTCTTCAAAATTTAAAATTTAAAATTATGCGATTCGCCGGAAAACTGATCGGAACCGTCGGTTTTGTAACCGGATCGAAACCGAAACCGGACGGTTTCAAACCAGAACCGGAACCAGACCTTTTCGGTTCGGTTCCGGTTCCAGCCGGTTCCGGAACTGTGGCCATGCTTGGTTCAAATACTCGTGCATCATATGTTGGTAATTGTAAAAAAATTATGAGTTTGGGCCGAGGACTAGAATTTGGGCTTGTGAAAGGTACATTTAGGCTTCTAAACTGATATTGAGCTTATTAAAACCATATATTTCTTGGCTTTTTTCTAGTAAACATCATATTTTATAAAAGTATCTAAGGGTAAGTTTGTATAATTTGGGCTTCAAGTACAATGGGCTATTGATAATTTTGGAGATTTGACTGATATCATAATATCTAATTTAGTACTCACTTTGCTCAGAGGCACATTTGTATTTGGTGAAATCGGCGCAAACGAACTCATGAAGAAATTGATCTTTACATGGAAATGAAAGACTATGGAGTAATATATATATTAATCACTACAAACAACCATGGTCAATAATGGGATGTGTCTATTTATCTAGCATAAGTTCGGGGAGTTGGAGTAGATAAAACAATGTTTATACAACAACATCGCGGAAGCTCATGAAGGCATATCCGTATTTGGCAGAGTAGGCAAATGAACTCGTGAATGAATTGATCTTTACTTGACATGAAAGAATTACTTAATGAAGAATATATATATATGCATTTCGCGATATCTTTTATGGTACCACATATATATTCTAGTTATTTGATGCAAGGTTATGTAAGTAATTAAAGTACTGAACATTTATAACTAATACTAATAATAAGTCAAGAACAATCGAAATACAAAGGTGGAGCATCCTGATCCTCCATGTTTACTGAGTTGTGAATGCGAGATACTTCAATTGAGATTTGGTATCAATATTTTTGAACCACTACCGCTGCATTAGAATTAACTTTATAGCCACTTGCACATGGAGGTAACCATTGAATAGGCAAGAACTCTGGCTAGGAGGTGCTGCATGTGGTGAGTGGCGGACTCGCTTGGACTTCTTGAAATTCGAAAAGCAAGCTTAATCCTTGTTGCAGCACCTGTAATTCCGTAAGATCCTTCTGCTGGAACAATTGTAAGTTTCTCGACTTCCATATTGCCCAGGCCACCATTGCAAAGACCTCCATCTGTGCTGTCTCAAAACCTGCGAAAAGCTCACATACCAGGTCCATAAAGGAATCAGCAGCAAACGAACCTGTGTCAATGCCTAGGGGACAGAGTCGCCATACTCTGTGGGCTTTGAAGCAATCTTTGAAAGCATGTGTTGCCGATTCATTGTCAGCTCCACTTACTTTACAAACAGGATCTAGGTTGATGCCTTTGCTTGCCAGCATATAGATAGGCAGGCGGTTCCTTAGCGCACGAAAGAGAGAAAGTGCTTCAGCTTCGACGGAATTCTGAGGTTCCAGACCTATTCCATAGAATTGGGCTTGTAGGAGCTGACGAGGAGGCTGACAGTGGCGCAAGTAACTAACCATAAACGAAATGATATCCACTTTTAACACTGTATACCTCATCCTTGGACCTGTATCATGCTAACAAATCTGAGCTCCGGCGACGTGACGGGGGTATAGCCCGAATTTGTTCAACTTCAGCAGTGCTAAAAAGCGTGGCGAGAACCCATTCGTTCTGGCAGAAACCGTCATGGCTAATCAATTCGCTTACATTCGCATCTGCTGCCAGACCATGTACAGGGGAATTTACTCGAAAACCACTTAATCCCGAATCCACTTGTCCTTTCAATGGCAATATGACTCCCATTTCCTACCAGCCATTTCGTTCCCCCCTCAATTATCCAGACCGACTCCATAAGAATCCGCCAGGCAAAGCTTGGTTGGACGCCCTTCTTCGCTTCTAAAATGGAAGTCCGAGGGATGTATCGGGCCTTCAAGCATCTTGCCAGCAATGAACCCGGAAATTTTACTAAATGCCAGACCTGTTTCGCAAGCAAAGCAAGATTAAAGGCATGTAAATTACGAAAGCCAATCCCAACAATGAATTTGTTGGTCTATTGTTATTAGTTATAAGACTATTAATCATTATTTAACAAGACAAACCAAATCATTGCATTTGTAACGATATCTAAAGAACAAAATCTTTACAATGAACTGGCAATAGAATTAAACAAAGTACAACAAGATGAATCACTTTTCACAGCTTCGAGTCTGCAGAAGGCAAAACAAAATTTGCAAAACCATCAAATTTTGCAAACTATTATACTACAAAAGACAAATATAATATGATCCACTCATCTGCGAACTCAACTTGCAGTGCCCAATATCAATATAATAAGAAATAAAAGATAGCCAGGAGCACACCATTTATAATAAAAAAAGAAAAATATCTCACCTTTGAAAATATAATACTTTTTTTTGAGAAAACTTATCTAGATCTGATCCATGATTCCACTTATGGATCAAACTAATAAAATTAAAATTTTTTATTAAAACGAGATTATTTCTGGCCACGCACTTATAAAAAAAAAAAAAATCGGGAATATTGTTTACAAAATATCTTAATTTTATTTATTTGTTTCGTAAGCGGCGCCATGCACACGAGGCAGGTAAGTATTTTCTACTTTTTTTTGTCTTTTTTTTAGAGAAAAGGTACAAACGGAGGTAACCAACATCATTGAGTTGGTCTGTCACTTTATTAGAGGAAAGGTACAAAGAAATTAAATAAAGCCCTTGTGTAGAAGTTAGCAAATATCTTCATCAAAGCTCTCCTACCAGCACAACACGAGTATTTGATGAACAAGATGAGAGGGAGTGTGAAATGAAATCAAGTGTAATTTATATATATACTGTTAATTAGTAAATGTAAATAAATATTATTGTAGTAAATAGTAAATAGTTAGCTTAGTATAAGCAGATATATAAAGATAATATCTTTAGCTTAGCTGTAATATACTCAATACTATCATTCAATAACAGAAAAATATTTTTCCAAAAATATTTTTCCAGACTCTCTCTCTTTTGTTTACTTGGTTGGGATGAAACGATTTGAACTCCTTCTCCTAATTGCCACGTTGGGAGAGTCGGCCCCTATATAGGCTCTGAGTACTCGAACTGGACGTAGTCAGAGCCAATGGACTTTTCAGATATTATATTACCAAAAAAAAAAAAAAAAAAAACCTAATGTGCCTTCACACTGTTGGGAGAGAGTTCCCGGCCCCTATATAGGCTCTGAAGTACTCGATCTGTAGCGTAGTCTAGAGCCAACTCTGGACCCTTTTTCAGATATTATATTACCCGAAAAAAAAAAAAAAAAAAATAATAGTCCAATGATATGTCAAGACATAGCTTGGCCAACATGTAGTTAGATGATTGTTACATTATTTTTTTGGGATCCCCTCCTTTTTGCTATATATTACTATATTATTAAAAAAAATTTTATAGATTTTTATAAAAAAAAAAAAAAAAAAAAATAGTCATGATATGCAAGACATAGCTTGGCCAACATTAGTTAGAGATTGTTAATTATTTTTTGGGGATCCCCTCCTTTGTATATATATATATATAAAAAAATTTTATAGATTTTATTAACTAAAATTATTTGAAAATTTTGAAAGGAAAAAAAATTCATTAACCTTACAAATAAATAAAGAAAAATACATATAGTAGAATTTTAAAGATATTGCAATGTTTAATTTTCCAAATTTTGTTAGTTTATTAGATTTAGAAAATCACAAATAATCTTTATTTTACTTGAATTAAATTAAAAGTAAAGTCATTGGAGGGCAAAGACAAATGGGCTTTTCTGGTTTTTTCAAAGCCATAGTTTATCTGTGGAGGAGTTACTTCATGCTACAAAAAAATTTGCTTAGGATTATAATGTTATGAAGCATCGCCTTGAGCTTACAGTTGCTCCTAAGACTAATCAATGGGTGTCCCGGTGGCCCCCTAGGAATAACATGTTGAAATTGAATACTGATGCTTCCGTTCTGGCTTTGGGTGGTTGTGGTTTTGTTGGCGGTTTAATTCGTGATAGCTTGGGCCGTTGGTAGAGGGGTTTCTTGGCCAATGTAGGCGTTACTTCGGTGCTGGGAGTGGAGTTATGGGCTCTCTTCATTGGCATCCAGTTAGCTCACACGCATGTCCTGTCTAATGTTATTGTGGAATGCAATAATCTTGCTGCAGTGCAAATTGTTAAATGGAGTTCTTGAGCCTACAATTGCCTTTCGATCCTTAGTTGCCCGCATAAAGTTTTTTTTGCAGTTGGGCTTTATTCAGCAGCTATCCCATATTTTCCGAGAGGCTAACAGATGTGCTGATCATCTGTTCAAAGAAGCTCATCACTTGCCTTATAGAGTTCAGCTATTGGATGACCCTCCACTGAGTCTGCTGCCTCTTCTTACTTTTGATGCCCACTCTGTGGCTTCTGTTCGTTGCGTTGCTAGCTACCCTTGTCTAGCCTCTTTTTCTAACCCAAAAAAAAAAAAAAAAAAAAAAAAAAAAAATGCTATTGGCTTAGCTACCCTTGTGCACTCACGCCTTCTTTTTCTAAACCCAAAAAAAAAAAAAAAAAAAAAAAAAAAAAGCACAAAATAGGCTTTTTTTCATCAACTTCCAAACATAGAAAACTCCTAGCCCTCTAATCACTCATTTTTTCCGTTCCTACTACTCATACTATTTAAGTAAAATTAATAAAAAGTCTAAAATTACTTTGATAAAAATAAAACACACACAATAGAAGAAGCTATAGTATGCTTAAAAAAAAAAAAAAAAAAAAAAAAAAAGACAAATAGGCTTTTTCATCACCTTCCAAACAAGAAACCCTAGCCTCTAATCACTCATTTTCCGTCCTATACTTCAATATTAAGAAAATAAAGTCTTAAATTCTTGATAAAATTAAACAATGAGAAGCTATATATTCTTTCTTGCAATTCGGCCAAGAAGAAAAACCAAAACACTTAACAAGAATTAGAACCCTATCATATAATTTGCATTTTCTACCACAATTACACTTCATCCTGTAAGGTTTCAGCCCATGTCAAGAATGGACTTTGTCTTATAATTTTAAGAGAAACCATACTTACATATAATACCTTTAAAACCATCGAATTGTCAATGAATGCTCAGTCGACAATTAGCATTTATTTCTTTGTAAAATTCTTCCCGTGTCTGAGTAATCATTTGGCCTTCTCCTTCATCCCATGACTGCCTCTTCTCGACATGAAAATTCACTTCTTGCTTGATGACCAATTCTTCAAGGGTCAAAGCATTCTTCAAAAATATTTAGCAAACTCAATTTGGTTTGGGGTTCCATAAAATCCACCAAGCTTAACATATTTCAAATGTTTATAAATGTATTCACTCGGCTGGAGCTTTCCTTGTTCGTCTTTTGAGCGACACGTCTGCAATGAAAACAAAATGAGCTTATACTAATTATTATGGATCTTAGCTCGTGCAAGATTTACAAATACCAAAAGCATGTTCAAATATAAAATTATAATTAAATATGATTTACCGGCAAGTTGTTAAAATGCATAATGCACATTATTTTACAATTCAACAAATCTTAAATGTGATTTTGGCCTTTCTTTCAAGAAATAAAAGATAAAAAAAGAAAAAGAAAAATATTTTTATCAATTAATCATAATTAAACTTATAGAAATACTTTGCATGCAGACATACCTCTTAGAAATTTTAAGAACAAACATGTAATTTTTTCTTCATGACATGGATGATTACTACATTAAAATTCTTTATGCATTTGATACATGAATGTTTTATTTGCAAAGAAAAATCTTTTCTAATTTTTTATGTCATAAATTTCATATTAGTCTTTTTTTTATATATATATAGTTTGTTCTATCATAAATTTATTAATAATATGTAATTAAACTAATCACAGTGTCTTTATCATTAAGACACAGCTTTTCTTACCTTCACACCTTAGTATATAACAAATTCAAGATGGTCACCCATAAAGATTGGCTTGCACTGTATGCTTCAAAGTTAAGAGTTCGATCCGTGGAAAAGAGCAAAAGAGGAAAAGCAATCCCAAAATGAGATTAGTCTCATACTCACATGTAAGAATTCATTTGAAAGTCAAAAAAAAAAAAAAAGAAAAAAAAGAAAAAAAGAAAAAAAGAAAAAGTGGTTTCTACATGTATTTTAGAGAAAAAAAGTAGATGAGAGCTTGAATCCGATATTCAATTAAGCACAAATTAATACAAAAAGAACCCATCAATTTTGAGAATATAAATGAATCACTCACCATCAAGTAAAATGTCATCAACTCGGGGAAGGCTCTAAGAATGGAGATCATCTTCAAAATGTCAAAAACCTATATCCCTTCTGAAAACCAGTTTTAGATGCAGAACGTTACAGAAGACGGTTATGCTTTCTGGTACATCATTAAACTACAAAGAAAAGAAGCAAATATCATCAACAAGCCTTTAATCTAAAAATTGTTAATTTTCAATTTAATCAAGTTACGGATTCCATTTAATATATATTTAATCTGTTGGAGCAAACTAAGAAATAACAGAGAAAAAAAAAAGAATATTGCAGTGTACTATTTTTTCATTAACTGCAAATGTGCTTAAATACAACAAAAAAAGGATAACAGAAATTCCTATATTTCAGCTCAACCATGGAACATGCCTCCATGTTACATGCCTCCATGTTTAACAACTCAGCTAGAAAAATGGAAATAATGACTGAAATGCAGTAGAACAAGTCAAAACATAACAAAAAAAGAAAAAATGCAGCAACTAAATTGGAAGCTAGAAAAATGTGAAATAAATGACTGATATATGCAAAGTAAAGAACAAAGCTCAAAACACTAACAAAAAAAGAGAAAAAATGCCTAGGAGCACTAACTAAGAATGTGCCAGGCAGCAAGCAGCAACTAAATTGGAAGTGCAGCAGCTAAGTCAACTTCTTAACACTCCTCCTTGGCTTTGATGCTGCAAACTCCAAGTTTTTCCCTCAGAAACTCAAATTTGTTTTTTTCCAAAGATTTGGTAAAGATGTCTGCAACATTGTCATCAGTTTTGCAATATTTCAAAATAACAGAACCTTCTTTCTGCACGTCTCTAAGGAAAAACAATTTGATATTAAAGTGTTTCATTTTTCCATGAAAAATGGGATTGTTTGAGATAGCTATTGCTGCTTGGTTATCCACAAACACATCTATGCCTTCATTTTTCTTCAAGTTCAGATCAAATAACACCTTTCTAAGCCATAAAGCTTGATTTGCAGCAGCTGTAGCTGCAATAAACTCTGCCTCCGCAGTTGATTGTGCAACAACTTCTTGTTTTTTACAACACCAAGAGAACATTCCTGCTTCTTGTTTTAGCAAACATCGCAGAGAAAAATTGACCTCCTGAACCCCTTAGATTAAACAATAACCTGAAGTACTCTTCCATATATCAGATCCACCATGATTCACTATCAGTAATAGCCCTGAAGAACTAGAAACGTGACTAGACACCAACCGAACTTGATTCCCATGCTTCCATGTTCCTTTCAAATTATCTTATATAAACATCTTTTAGCAGTAAATAACAAATAAGTTTCAGTTAGTCTACTACTAATATCGTAAAATCGAGTTGCAGAGTAGAACTCACAGATAAGTGTAAGAATGTCAGGGGTACTTGTCGCAGGCTTAAATACATCAAACAACCCACTAAGACTTCGTAGAAGTGAGTTTGTGTCAATCAACCTTAATTCCTCTGAGGATACTGCTATATGCATGTCTATTGGAGCGCTTTAACATTTATTAGCCACATAGGAGTTGTAGCCAAATCTTTGTCACTCTATCGCATTACGAATCTCATCTTCAGAAAGCAATCTTGCACTCATCCATTCTGAATTTCTTCAGAATTTCTTTAGCATATTTGGTTTGGCAAATGAACACCTCTTTCTCCTTTTGTTGAACCTCCATTCCAAGAAAATATGCCATTTCCACCAAGTCAGTCATCTTAAAGGTCTGTTGCATATCTTTCTTGAATTTATTCACAAGTTCCAAAGTGCTTCCTGTAACAAGTAAGTCATCCACATACAACGAAACAACAACAAAATTGATCTCATCACCTTTGATGTAGAGGGTAGCCTCAGTTAGACTTTTTTTGAATCCAAGCTGCATCAAATGCTCATCAATTCTACTATACCAGGCCGTTGGTGCCTGTTTCAGGCCGTATAGTGCTTTTTTGAGCAAATACACATCATCTTCTTGCTCTTTCACAACAAACCCATCAGGTTGTTCAACGTAGATCTCCTCCTCGAGAAGACCATTTAGAAACGCTGACTTGACATCTAACTGGTACACTTTCCAACCCTTTTGAGTAGCAATAGCCAGCAGCAACCTAATTGTTTCAATTCTGGTAACAGGAGCAAATGTGTCAGAAAAATCAACACCAGGGATTTGAGCATAACCTTTCACAACAAGCCTTGCTTTATGCTTGTTTATAGAGCCATCTCCATTCAGCTTTGTTCTGAATACCCACTGTACTCCAATCACCTTTCTGTCATTAGGTCTTTTTACTGTGTAACATCCTAGTGAGTTGAGTTGAGTCATTTCATAGAGGTAAGTTGAGTTGGGTTGAATCAAACCTTGTTGGGGTAGAATGAGAGTATAAGTGCTAAGGTAGACGTTGAGTTGAGTTCATTTCAATAGAAAGGTAAAGTTAGTTGGGTTGAATCAAACCTTGTTGGGGTAGAATGAGAGTATAAGGGATTATGTCGAATGTAAGTAGGACTTGCTTGCATTAAACCATAGCAGCTTGGGGTAATTCGCACACTCTCGCTCACGCCCTTATAGTACACTTTAAGTAGGTACCTAATATAGATAACTGTTCAACACAGTCCCAACATCAAGTTCTGTCTAAGAGACGTACGCGGTTTCTTTAAGATCAATACTGTTCCTATTTCAATGTTTTTAATTTCATTTTCTCTTTCTTACTATGTCCCGTCCATTTTTTCTTTCACCCATTTGTATCAAAATAGTTAAAGTCAATATTAACGTCAACTGCAAGTAATAATTACCTTGAAGTGTGATTGGATTTTATCCTATTTCATTTAGAGTTATAATTGTATGAAGAATGAAGTTAATTGAGAATTCTTGTAGCTATAGGAGAAGTAAAAGTTATCAAAAAGTTTGCTCAACAGAAAATGAGAAAGCTAAAAACAGAGTCCCAATCTAGCTGTTTTGAAACCAAAGGTTATGATATCCTTCTTGTTGATTTCCCATGTTCTTTTGGCACTGAGAACTTTGTAAATGGAAGTTGTTATGGTTCATGAGAATTCTTGTTGAGTTGTATTGTATGAATGAAAAAGATAGTGGTGAAGGAGGTGAAAAAACAGTGGCGATAAATATATCCGAAGTGGCAAACCAGAGTTTGCTGGAAAAATCCCTTTACCATAGCAACTTTATTTCTTTTGAATATTTGACACAAGCCAATTATAAAAGATGAGAATTAAGGAATCTGGTCATAGAAGAGTTAATTTGTATCCTCATGTGTTATCTGATTTACGTGGGGCTTTTGAATCATTGAAATTTGGAGTTGTATATTGAGAGTTATAATGGCCCAAAAGAATCACAGACTTGCTAACAACTGAGAAACACGTCGCGCGCATCGCTGCGGGTCTGGAAAAGTCAAGTCGCGCTCTGAGCTTGTAAGACTATTCTCACATGACGCGCGGGTGTCGAGGCGACTCACGTTGGCCAGAAGCTCTCTGACTCTCAGTGTGCGCATCTCGCGCTCGGCGAATCCACACAGCGGCTCTGGCGACTTCATCTCGCGCTCGCGCTTGTGCTGCGCGGTCGCGACTTCAGCCAGAAAACACACTGACTCTCAAGGATGCACAAGTTCGCGCTCGGCGACTTTCAATGCCGCGATCGACTTGAGGTCCAGAAAAACCCTCCTGACTCTCCTCTCTGACTCTCAATTGCACTTTGCGCGCTCGCAAGGTTTGAAGACGCGCTCGCGACTTCTCCTTGGGAAGCATCTCGCGCTCGCGACTTGTCCCTGTGCGCTCGCGACTTGTGGTTTCATGCATTTTGGACTTCATTTTCCATACAATTACATTCCTTTGCTCAACATACATGCATCCAATCATTGTAAAACAAAAATATAATATAAGAACATGGATTCAAACAACATGTAAGCAAATTTTGGTATCAGAGCAAATCAATATGATGAACTATGACGTTGTGAAACCATTTATGTGCTATTGTGTTACATTGTTGACATGCTAATCTTAAGCTCCATTGAGGTTAGGTTAGAACCATGTATGAATAAGGCTATGTCCGCGACATAGAATAGCAGATGCTGCGCTCAAATAAGTTTTGGAAACCGGTGCGGTGCAAAATTACCGGTTAGGGGCACCAAAAACGGAAATAATTTGGCATAGGCGAATCC